CATAGCAGGATTGTTGCAGGGGGGGCTCGTCAAGATGTTAGAGGGTCTCGGACCCTCAACAACCACTCTCCCCTCCCAACCCTTGCCTACGCAACATGCTTCCTCCTCTTTGCAAATAACAGCTGATCTTCCAACATCTTAACTATTTTTGTGCAGGAATGTTTGTTGACCAACAAACCTACCACTCAAATTTGAAACTAACGCTGTGTGTTCTTTGGGTTACCCGGTGCCTTTTCACAAGTTGCAATGTTCAATGAAAATAACAGCGTGATGACCTCATAAAAGATTGAAGACAAGGTGGCGGCTCCGTTAGCAGACGCAAGTGTTACCGCCACTCTGCAAGGGCCGTCCAGCAACATTCAGGCATTCTACTCTGGAGCCACCGCTGCCTCTTCAGCCTTGCTGTCTTGTTCAGGAGTGGAGCTATAAACCGGCAGATGTAGACACCTAAGGTTGTTCCTCAGCTTGAAAACACTACAATATATTAATCTCATACGTGATGTGTCTCTTTAACAGTCGGCCAAGGCAGTGCAGAATGACGAAGGAAAGAAGATTGACACTGCAGACATTCGAAATCTCAACTACTTCCAAGAATTAGAAAAGCTGGGATGGCTGACACCCGGAGACGCACATGCAGCTGTACTCTGTGCACCTTCATTAATCTGAGACCTGATTGGTCCCATCTTTATACGCCTCAGCCCCTAACCAAGTTTAAATACTGATCCCGTTTTCGAAATAAGGCGTGTCAAAATCACATGAACAGGATTTCAATCACAGCATAAAATAGCATCGGTTGAATTGGACGGTAAATCTCGTTTACCGATTCGCTGGGCGGTCTCTTAACATAACCTGTTTGGGGTGATGAGTGCATAATCATATAATTCAAATGTAAAGCTTAATTGTACTCTTTATGCCTCATTTGACATAGGTTTCCAAATTTCGCACCCAGTTTCAGTATTGCTGAATATGGGTATTGAAGGGTACAAACAACTATTGTCGCTTTCCGTTCTTTACTGTTTATTAATCGTCGTCTTTCTGAATCTTGCAGATCAAACTAGGCAAGGATTTCGACACAGATGTGAACGGCACTTCGCTGCTTTGCAAAGGTGGCCTGTCACCAGCCGAATCCCCCTTCGGCGGTGCAAAGCCTTTGTGCTCCATTTTGTCTTTAAACAAATGCGACAGGGCCAGATCAAATGAGACGGCTACAGTTGAGCCTGCTGCGCGCGAACTTTTCATTGTCTGTCTTACCTTACTGTACCGACCAACCGCCCTCACCGCTCCCCCTTCTCAAAGCCTAGCGGAGGCTTTCATCCATTTATTTATTTAAACTGTATAATCCCTCTAAGTATGCCTTAATGCGGACAAACTGAATAGTGTCTTACTTTTGTTTTACTATGTCAAAATGTCTGGAGGTGGTCCTATTTCTAAAACTATGAAACAATGTGTGCTATGTGCGCGTTATGTTTATTGTTTGCTGAAGTAATGGCAGATCTACACATTTCTTACTGCCATGCTTACAAACCACAGGTGCTTAAAACATTGGCGACTACATATAACCGGCAGAGGAGCGGCCGGCCATCGGCAGTCACAAGATATGATTCACAAGCCCTTCCGGTCGTAAGCAGTTGCAAGTGTGTCAACTGCCAAAATTGGTTCCTTTATCTCAGTACTCTCATATTGGGCCAACCAAAACTCTCCGCAGATGTGTTAGAAGCGCACATGTACAAATGCTTTCAACACGCCCACAAACAGTTTTGGTAGGCCCAATATTAGAAGACACGAGAAAGAAACGCGCCTCAGATGGTGTTTGCACACTGCATGCCTTTTGCTTGGTGTACGAGCAGTGTTACCGGGACTTCACGGAATGAGTCACGAAAACGTCAGGAGATGATTAGTCTGCTAACGTAAGTGAACAATATAATTCGTCTGCTACGAAGCGTCCTTCGCAGACAAACGGTAAACAAGTAAATACTTACACGTCTCCGGTTACCGGACCGGAATAAAGGCAGCCATCTGCTGAAAGCCGAGTGCCGCGACGAAGTGATACGAAACGCCAGCTGAAACTATAAAGGTCATCTATAATTCCCGTTTGATGCAATCGACAACGAGGGCTCCCTCTGAAAATCTCATGCTCTGCTGCCGCATATAGCACAAATTCTCCTATGCATGTAGTACACTCGGGAGAAATATTACCGCGAGACTCCTGTCACCATCCGTGTGTTAGTGAGTAGTTATCACCAAAAGAACTCTGAAACCAACTAAAGATATATCATTGGCCGATAACTCTCGCCCAGTAAAACTCTAGGACATCACGTTCAATCAGTACCCCAGAATGTTATCGCTCTCGCCATGGACCAAGCACCGACCGCTAAAACTGGTTTTGAAAAGAAAGATGTTATCTTGTAACCTAGCTGGTAAAACAGGCCTGAACAAAATCTGTAATAATCGCCATGTTCCAGCCTGAACCATTGCCTCAGCACGGTCCGGGAGGACGTTACAGAGGAGGTGGATATAGGGTGTTGAAAATGCACAAACAAAAGCACGAACGAACTAACGAAGGATTAAAAAACTGTTCAGCTATGGCGGTCTTGAAGATGACACGCCTGTAAAAGGAAGCTGAAGCGGTTTTGTACGTGAGGAAGCAAACTTAAATCGTCTTAATTTGGCTTCCGGGAATTCCGGGTGGCAGAAAATCATTTTGAAAGTACTGCTGAAGGCCATCCTTTTCGGAGCGTGCCGTCATAAAAGGAGCTTTCTCAATCTCCGCTTTCGCGCATCTTCAGTTCCTATCTAAGCTAAGCACGCGCACACTTGCTATTTTTAAGAACTTAATAAAAATATGTCACGACTGGTGCCAGAGCGGGGGACTGGCAAGGTTGCGATTGCACGCGCTGTCATACGAGCGACACGCGCTTGGCTGCCGAAAGATCCTAGTCGGAGCCTTTGCGTGTTTCCTCGCGTTTGGTTACATTTTCGGAGAAAACGAACGGAATATTCAGTTTTACTAAATAAAACTACGCTAGAATTAACCTGTATCTCATTTTTTTTAAATAAGTGTTTCGGCTTCCTTTAATGGGGACGAAGGAAAGGGGAATGCCACTTTAAGCTCGTCTTGAGTCTGAAAAAATAATAAAAAAGATATTTTCTTGCAATAGGGACTGTAAACTATTTACTGGTGATGAATGGTAATCAATTTATACTGGTGATCAATCAACCAAATTGTAACTATTTGTAATAAACTTCTGGGTGATCTAAAGTGCTCTTTAGCAATAGGCTCCTTGCACATGACGTCATTTCCGATACCCTCCAGAGAAGAGGGGGAGAAGGAGCTCCCCTCTTATCAGGACCCTCCTTTGTGCCTTCCGGATTTGCACAGGCGTCGCTATTCTCCTCCCAGAAGATTATAGAAGATTAACCCGTCACTCAAAATTCTTACAAAAGCAGCTTCCCTCTCCTCCTTTTACTTGGTGTGCAAATGTGGGCGATGTGACGTCAATGCAAGGAGCCTATACGGGTCTCTAAGGAACTCGTGAACGTCAACCAAGTATCTCAGCTAAACCCAATTCTTCCTCAGTGAGCCCCGCTTCTGTTAGTTTTTGGCAAAACGTGAGTCTGATTGATTAATCTACACTGCATTTCATTTTATAAATGATAGCATTAGGCGCGTGGATGCAGCACTGACGCCACCGGTTACCATTTTCCTTCTCCCTAGTGGTTAAACGTTGCATATATAAAGAAACATCTCTCGTTATAATCAAAATATGTCATTAGTATTTGGGTAAAACATACACACTTGGAAATGGTATAGGCCCAAAGGACTTAATTTTTTCGTGTTCTTAAGTTTGAAATGTCTCGCAGGTACCCTCCTACTGATAAATGGTGTTGTTATCCATGCCCTGTTTAATTTCGAAAGTGGCCTTCAGTCCTTTACCTTATTGAACTGTACTGCAAATGCGCGTTTTCCCATTTGTCGCATTCTTTTTCTCGTTTCTGCGTCGTAATTCGTAATCATTTACTCCGCCGTTTAATCAAGTAATGAATAGCCAACTGGACCAATTCCAGGCACTGGTATCCTTCAGTTTTAGATTTGCTCATCGAATGTCACGATATTTGATGGCAGGTAAAGTAACTGTGTTGGCGACTGTTTATTAATACTCATTCTTTTATACTTTGCAGGCCGAGCTAACCGGAAATGCTCTTAACGCAAATGTGATCGACCCTTAGCTGCCTAGGAAGGACGGCCCAGCCACCAGCCAGTTCAACTTTGGCAGTGCCAAACCTGTGGGCTACATTTTCCCCCAGATGAATGGAACCGACTAGTTGGATCAAATAGGGAATAGCCACAGCTCAGCCAACTACATGCAACATTTTTATTCCCTTTCCTACCTGCGGTCGCCGACAAACTCTGTCCGTTTAGTTAACGCGTAATTCACAAAACCTGTGGCTGCGATATACCGTGCAGTTGTTGGTTTTGTGGCATGCCTGCCTTTTTCAGCACTACAGAGCAGGAGCAATGTAACTAAACCACTCCCCTTCATCGTACCCAGTTGTGTCTTTGTCGATTTGTGTAGGACTGTATCGACGTAATCCTTTAACACGTATTTAAAGGTGAAGTAAAACCTTTGAATCTCGTGCTTAATAGAGAAGGATCGCTTTTATGTTTGATTCGCGTGTATTTTTACAATCGACGTTTTGGGCGTATTCAGTATCCAGTTATGGTGCACGTGTTTGATCGTGATATGATTATTTTACTTTTTTTGAATTACACCTCAACATCAATGTAAACCCCTAAATTTGTCTACTTCTTCAGCATGATGTGTCTATGTTTGCTTGTTCGTTAAGTTCGTTCTGATTGGGCTTCTGTATTGGTATAGTATAAAACAAAGGAACTAAAGAAAATTTGATCTTCACTCCTAACAGAAATTGCCCACGCAGCATTCGACTCCGAATGGCAGAGAACGGACTGCGAGGACAAGGGAACGGAGCTCTCGTTCCAGGGAGCCGAATTGCAGAGGCAACCATTGAAGATGGACCAGGAGGGGAGGACAGACGGCGGTGCGACTTCTGCCCCCAATCTTATGGTGCCCACGGAACTAACAACACCAGGTACGAGAAGAAGCACACGGGATAACACTCATCCAGCCTCGCACCCTCTTACCACACCCTCACAGATTCATGAACGGTCCCACACGGATAGAAAACCTTTTTGTAGGCTCAGTTTTCCAGAAAATGGAAAGCGTGAGGAGTCTGATGTGGTACAGAAACATTTCCCCACGTGGAAACTTCATTAGGTTTTAATTAGCGGCCTGCACCAAACCGAAAAATTATACCGCATACATAATATGTGATATCAGAGAAATGTACCATACTGAGCTGCTTACTTCTATTACAAAATTATATTTTCTCCTTTAGTTCCGGTTCATCGAGTAGCTCTCACAACAAATGCTATAAATTATTTTCGACGCATGAAATAGCCCAAAAATGTTTCGCTGGTTCAAATGATTGAAATTTTGCTCAACATTATTTGTGTCGCCGAAGTTCAGCTTTAGAGTAGCAAATGTCCACATCATTGTCGATATAGAACCGCGTTTTTCGCTGTTTCAAATCGCTCGTAAAATAATCGCTATGTACCTTAGCTATTTTCGAAGTTTCTAAGGCACACAACGATTATTCTACGAGCCTATTGAATGGTATTTTGTGTAACCTAATCATCTGTAAGTGTGTGGAAGACCCTTCCAGCGTTATTTAACACAATCGCAATCATCATGAATGTCAACATATCACCCAGCGCTCCGTACTGGCAGCGTTATGCAGCCGCAGTGTTGTAGCCGTTACCGTAAAAAAGTAAAGGACTACGTTACTTGAGAAATAAAAGAACGCGATACTGTCGCCGACAGAAAGTAACGCACGTTACTTTTGCGTTACTTTTTATTTATAAATTGACGGTAACAGCGCTTTTGGTTTATTTTGGCGACAGCGTGTTTCGACTTTAAGATGACAGGCGGGGGTTGGGGTTTTTCTAAAGCGGAAATTTTTGAGTGGGAAAAAGACAGGCAAAATTTAGAAAATATGTAGATTTAGAAAAGTAATGAATACGTCACTACGTTACTGAAAGAAGAAAGGCGCTACCGGTAACAACGTCACTTGTAACACGTTACCGCCAACACTGTGCAGCAGCGGCCGCGGCGGCTTGACTTCCCTTCCGCACTTGGTTAGCAGAACGTGCAAGCCACCACAGCTGCCGCACCATGGGGCTGCCAGAGTCGAGTCTTTAACGATCGCCTGTAGACATTTATTAGCTTTGCGAATGAACCTTTTTAACATCTCAAATGAATGAATACGGACTGTAGGCCGCACCGGCATAATGTAGGTATACTGGACCATGTTTAAAACAATAAAAAATGCACCGACCTTTCTTGCTCTGTTGTCATCCCAACAGACTTGATTGAAGCATACTCTGGCGACAAAGTGGATACCATCGACCGTGACAGCCACAGGGGTGACAATTCTCCCGAGACCAGCTTGTCGGGCCCACAGAAGCCGCAAATGCACCGACAACTGGACAAGCACCCGTGCCGCTTCTGTCCTCACTCAAGCAATTCCGCAACGGCTGTCGCCATCCACGAGAGGACACACACTGGAGAGAGGCCCTTCAGTTGCGGTGTTTGCGAGAAAACGTTTGCGCGTACGGATTACTTGACAGCTCATGTTAGAATTCACACCGGAGAGAAGCCGTTCAAGTGCAACACGTGCAGCAGGGCGTTTAGTCATAAATGGAGCTTGGCGAATCACGAAGGAATTCATACAGGAGAGAAGCCGTACAGGTGCAACACGTGCAGCAAGGCGTTTACTCTGAAACGTACCTTGGCGAATCACGAAAGAATTCATACAGGAGAGAAGCCGTACAGGTGCAACACGTGCAGCAAGGCGTTTACTCTGAAACGTACCTTGGCGAATCACGTTAGAATTCACACCGGAGAGAAGCCGTTTAAGTGCAGCACGTGCAGCAGAGCGTTTACTCAGAAATCCGATTTGACGATTCATGTGAGGACTCACACCGGAGAGAAGCCGTACAGGTGCAACACGTGCAGCAGGGCGTTCACTCAGAAAACCAACTTGGCGAATCATGAGAGAATTCACACCGGAGAGAAGCCGTTCAAGTGCGAGACCTGCGGTAGAGCCTTTGCGGCTTATAGCAATTTACACACTCATCGGAAGATACATCGCAAGTGATCGAAACAGCAACGTGCATCATAGTTGTGGAGGGGATTCAAGCGAAATACTCGAGCACCGACGTATGTTCGTTTCGTTTGGCGATAGACCTGCAGGAGTTCTACTTGCGAGCAGTGCAGGTTTCGAATGGTTCGAAAATATTTCAGCCTATTATGTATCATGTAAACACAGATTAGATATTGAATTTACCTGAGATGAAGTGACCCTGTTTTTTTTTTTTTGTACATGAAAAAATAATTACATGAAGCCTAGTATTTTTTATTCATTTAGAGTCATTAATCTCGTGCTGCACCTGGAGTCTCTGGGTTGTCTGTAGGGCCACTTATTTTCCTAACCAGTCGGCCTACTCATGACCATGAATATTAAATGCACAAATTATTAAAATAACTAACGACTTTCAATAGCAGCAATTTTGGATATTGCAAAAGTTAAGAAACTATAAGAAAAACTTAGTAATGCGGAGGGGTCAACAGAATTTTAAGATGTAAAAATAAAATTATATTCCAAACTATTTAACACACCAAGCTGGAAAATATTGCTTTACTCATAGGACAGCAACAGAATATACATGACTCCAAGATTTAGAAATGCAGTGCTATTTCCTATCTCATTTCTTAATATTCTTCGTCCTTTTTTTCATTTTGACCGGTGCCAGTTGCTGAATTCCCATGACATCAATCAATGTGCCTGCTACATGAAATACTTGTATGTATGTCTTTCTTTTGCGTGATTTTATTATTCTGTTTGTTTTTTCACGTTCATGAAAACGGTTTTGATGATTTAGGATATTCGTACTTTTAGTGCTATTTATTTGGTATTCATGTAATTTCACTGGGATTCATCAGGCCCTTATTTATTTGAGGTTCTTTTTGTAGTAGACGGATCATATATATTTGTTTTACTAAAGGCGTAATTAACTCCACTGTGTATAATCATGTATTTAAACACTGTATCGGCGTAATTCATCTAAATATGTCTTAATCTACGCTGACTGTACAGTGGTTGTCACTACATCCTGATGCGCCAGAATCGCTGCAAGTGGAGTTCTATTCCAAAATGTATAAAATATTTGTTTTGACATAAAGAGCGTGTTTCCGGGGAAACGGGCAAACTCGTTACTGCAAAAACTACTCATCGCACAATAAAGAAGCCTGATGCCGTAGTGGTCTGTGTCAAAGTGAAATTGTTAGAGTTCAATATAATTGGGTAATTAATGAATTCCGAGTTCTTAAAATATTAAATAATAGTTTTAAAGGCATGGTTTCCATTATAGTTTTGCTCGGCATCATCGTGAACTATTTAATACACCCACGTTACAATAGTATGAGGCATTTTAAATTATGCCTTTAAGATCAGTAATTAGCTATTTATTCATTCAAAATTACTTACCCAAATAGATTGAACGCTAAAAATGTTTCTTTGATGGCAGGTGCAAAGGGCCAAAGCTGGCAGGGTGGTGGAAGCTACGAGCCCGTTGGACCACTCAAACGTCGATCTTTCGCCGCATGCCCACTCTGCCAGCCATACCCACGCAGAGGGCGCTGTCAGGCGATGAAATGGAGGCGGTTGTCTGGTCCGGCAAACGTGTAGCTCGCACCGCTCTGTCAGCTTCAAGGGGCGGAGCAACGATATTGGGTATCGGGCTTTCTGGCACCTGTGGGGCCCAAGCACCAATGTGCCCGTTAAAAAAAAAAATCAACGAAATAGCAAAAATTAATGGGTTAATAAGATTCGTTATCGTCCTAGAAATGTCGCTATATACCGTTACGGTTACTTTCAAAAGAGAACGAACGTCACTTTGGCGCCAATTTGAATTGCATTATAACTTGACAGCGAAAGGCCGAGGATATGAACTTCGAGAACAGTTCAGCTTCTACGGAGTAATTTCTTTGCGTTATTAGTTTGTAAGATTTGTTGCATATGGTTTATTATTTTGAAATCTGGTTTTATAGACTGTGCTCTCTCATTTTCTCTTTCTTTCGCAAATAATTCAGTAATTTTTTGCTATCAATACACTTCAATTGAATAAAACACTGGTTTGAACAAAAACGTCACCACGTGTCTACAAATCACCCCCCCCCCCCCTTTTTCTGAACGGATACACCTTTGGGAGTACCTATGGCTGTTCCAAAGAAAAGGGGGTGTAACGTATTATATTACAGCCAACACTAACCTTCAACAAAAATTGGAGGCGCACGAAGCTGGGATAGACCCTTTCCGAAATTCGGTGCCATCTGGTGGCTGAAATGGCGGTTTACTTTTGCCATACGAATGGCGGCAATGAACCCGTAGCCTGCAGTATTTTATCGGGCACCGTCACTTTTGCATGTCAACGGCAGACGAGAATAAACTTTTCGCTATACAGGTTTTTCTGGACCATCTCTTCCAGTGTCGATTCCCACAACGATGCAACCAGTCAGAACGAAGCGCCAACCCAGACAGACGCCTTGATAAAGTTGTAAAAGTCAAGGGGTTTCGAAGTCGATTTTGTGTCACTAACAGGTGCACTGGGCTCGAATTAGAGAAATGAACACTTACGCAGCGCTTGCATTCAATTCCGGTTTCGCAACATGCTAACGTCTAGAATATATAGGCCTCGAATCCTCAGCTTAGGAGTATCTTCAACATGTTCCTTCACCAGTAATTAGAAAGCCGCCATTGGTATGACACATATGCCATTTTTCAAATGATGATGATAGTGATCACAGTGGCCAGAGTGAATTTCGGAAAGGGTCTATTAGAGAACCTCCACTGACACACAGAGTAATGACAAGAAAAGCAACAAATTGCGAGAAGAAAATAACTTGAGTGCTTTTCTTTTTATTATTTGTGTTTTCGCGTATTTTTGTGGATTATCTCTCAGGGACCAAATACGTAATCTGCGAACGTGAACAGCATTGTGGCCTCTTCCCCACGAGCTATTAGTTGACCCAAATAATAAAAAAAGGACTAAACAAGCTCGTAAATCTTATAAAAGAAAACATTGTGACAAGAAAACCCTTCTGAAAAGAAAAAAAAAAAGGACACGTTGCTACGCTTGCGGCTCAGGTCGGTGCTGTCGTCGGCGAGTTGCAAGTCCCTTGAAGCAGGGACAACGAAACGATCAGAAGTCGATGGTAGTTGGCGCTCAAGAGGGTTAGTTTGTGTGAGCTCTATATGCTGAAGCTAGTAAAGATCCGCGCTTTTCAAAACTGCCATCCGTCTTGTCGGTAGTGACAGATCGTTTCATCGGCAGAGTCTTTTTCCCGACAGAGCCTTAGAAATCGACTTTTTTGTGGCATTTATGTCGCAGACTTGTGAAGAGGGCTTCAGGAGCCTCATCAACGCAGCGGTGGCACATTCTCCCCATTGCAAAGCCTTACTTAACGATCGGCGGTTCCACCAGGTGGGGTGCCTACTCGAGCCTGAGATTAAATTAAAACTCCCTGAGCGAAGCCGAAGTTGCCTTCACGTTGCATGACGGGCGCACGACTATGCCTTCGACGCCCAATCGGGCGTCGTAGTAGTAGTCGATTTAACGAGCAGCGGGGAAATGTTGTCGATAAGTCGCGGGTCGATGAAAACTTGTCAATGAAGTGATACGGGCGAAGCATTGGTGATTCACAACGCTCCAAGTGAGAAATACAAACTTACTTTTGGATCTCTAATCTTCACAGCCGAGCGTGGTCGTTTTGTGGACACACGAAGGTACTATACTCCGTTTCACCTTATGTTGTACCGCAGACAAGGCTTGAAGCCGAGATGTGCCCTAGAGCAAGGAGCTCGCGCTTCTAGCCTTTCCTGCGGTACATCATAAGGTGAAACAGAGTATTATCAACTCAGGCTGAGCACTCGTCCGTGCTGTCACACGGGCGGTACATCAGAATGCCCCCCCAATTCCGTGAGCCATGCGAGGTCACGTGGGGTCCGAGTGACGCATTTTAGGAATTTCCGGAAGGGTCTATTCGTAGCGGAGCGAGAGGCCTGCTTGTTTTTCATGCTCTGAAATAAATAATGCATCATCTGGGGTGAAGAGTCGAAGCAGTCACTTGTCTATACCGGAGGTTGTGAGGGCGCCGGGAAGAGGATCACTGTAGCGTCGCGAAGCGGTGAGGCTCAGACGAGCAACGTTCCAACGAACAACGAACGTATTTAATGGCGCCCACGAGGACCGTATTTCAACATGCTATATGATTGGTGCCTGGGTTGCCAGACCAACCAGCAGGCTCTGCCGTTGCACCCCCGGTAAGGCTGAAACAATAGTCACGGCTGTTGGTAAAAAACTTGGTCACACGCGTAGTGTCCCTTTCTCCTTTGTTGAAGTCCTCGGGGGTAGTAAGGAGGGGCCGTCTGTTCCTTCGTTGCGTTCTGCCGCTCTCAGAGATGACCCGATAGGATTTAGGCGCCACTCGGTCTTGGACTTTTTTTTTTTATTTTAACGATTTGTACGCCGTCCTCCGCCACGCTGTAAAAACAAGTGTAAAAAAAAAAACAAAAAAAAAAAAACAGAATTTGTCTGGCAGCTTTTTTGCTAGAAAATTTCTGTAAAACTGTTTTATGTTTTTAATTTTTTTTTGTTATTTGACATTCATTTTCTGTTTCTCACTAAACGACAATTTATGTAAAATCACAAGTTCTGTAAAAGCAGTTACAAAAAAATCCCAGCACAGAAAATGTATGTAAAATCACAAGTTCCGTTAAATCACGCAAAGAAAACTAAGGTGGAAGATAATTTCTGCAACGTTACAAGTTTTATAGAACCAATTATTGTGAAAGCCTAAGAGCAGATATCCTGTTTTAGTTACGTAAATTTACATTTTCTCTCGTTTCTTTCTTTTACAAATATTAGATACAATATTCGAAGATGAAACAGGGAATAGGCAAAATATATGACCTCACTGCTGATATACTGCCACGCGACATCCGTGCTACTGGGCATCAGAGGTAGTGAAGTATGTATGTAGCAAAGGTAATTAGGTGAATTTTAATACTTTTTGCTACTATATACACTTTACCGCATAGATGCGTATGTACTATCGAGGGAAAATGAA